ACTATATGACCAGAAGTTTGAACGCTAGGGAAGTACCTCCTGTGGCGCTGCACACAGTAAGTAAAAGCAGTGATAATTACGCTCGGGATCAGAAATTTGGCAAACACGGGACCTCTCAAGGAGGTAGGTCCTAATGGCTGCTCCTGATATTCTTCCATGTTTATCAAACTGAATCTCAACGAATTTTCCAAAGCGACTGCAGTAGTTTTTTAGTTAGGAGATAATTAACCTCTTTGGTACAACATCTTTAACATCATTATCTTCAAGTGTATCATTGGATGCACCTTTCTAAAAGACTACGTAAACATGCAGAAAACCAAATCAATCCATGTTTTATCGCAAGAGGAACAGAGATAGTTGATTTCTAAAAAGAAAAAGAAAAAAAGGCAAAAAGGAACAAATGCACAGGTATACTTGAAGATTAACCTGGAATTGTTATTTCGGACAGTTTTTGCATTGCCAAATGCTTCAAGGACGGGATTAGACTGCACTTCAATAGGTATTTACAAAGGGTCTATGAGAGGCTATAAAATATATAAAACATTACAACTTTTTTAAAGATCATGGGAAATTGAAACTTGATACGAAAAAGATGTTGAAAAGCAATATGCAAGTGTCATACTTCAAGAACTTGCTGCTCAACGGTCCTTCCTTCAGTAGCTGCACGACCACCCAAAAAGGCAAGATACTGCATAAGCATTTTAGTTGTCTCAGTTTTACCTGCTCCACTTTCACCACTAACCAGAATGGAATTGCTTTTCCTATCATTAATCATTGCCCTGTTTTGAGTAAAGGTAGAAGTTTCTATAATTGAAGAGAAAACTATTACTCATTCATATCCCAAATTGAATGAGATTAACCTGTATGCGACATCGGCAACAGCGAATACATGAGGACTTAGCTCACCAAGTGGTGCTCCCTTGTATTGTTGCATCATGTGTGCAGTATAAAGATGGGGTAGTTTTTGGAATGGGTTTATAGCAATTAGAATATTTCCAGTGTAAGTCTGTCAAGGCACACACGTTAAACGGAAGGTCATTATAGGTTCTGCAAAAAATATAACCCCACAATGTAGCACAAATGTTGAGAGACAAAACCAACATATATTTCATTTAGCTCATATCTGGACTTCAGGTTCTGCAAAACTCCTGGCTCATGCAAATAAGATAGCTTTGTCATGTCATCAACACCTCCAGCAGGGGCTTCCACATCTTTAGGGTAGACTTCTGATAACTTTCTAACAACCTAAAAGCAATAAGACAGAACGATTATGTAAGGCATTACCCGAAACAATTCCCCACAATAAGTAACCAACTAACCATGATTTCCCACAAGCACTACTAATAGACAGTGTGTAGACTACTGTTTGTGGCTCACAAAAATGTAAGGTATATGAAATGATGAAATGGTTTAAGAGACCTTAAAATGTGTCTTACTTGAACGTGCTGGTTAAAATAACAAATGAAAAATATAGCATATCAATGAAGACATAAACATTGTTTCTATGGTTTCCATAAATAAAATTCTATGACAATATTCTACTTCATCTAAATCACAAGGAAATATTACTTTGCTTTAAACAAACCTGACAAAACAAAAAGATGATAATATCACATTCTAGTACCTTTTTCCCATCACTTGTCAGGATCTCTATTTGATCGCCATTAATTTTGTGCACTTCGCCATCAAGCCAAGCTACATTTGGATCCTCGATCCAGACATGTGATCCTACAATAATATTTACTGAAGTTCCCTGCCAGATATAAGACCAATAAACACATTAATGGGTAGGCCATTGCAGTGAGTTCAGCTGGAAGCAATTTTCTTAAATCGATATCATCCATATAGATGTTTTGCAATCAACCACCAATACTACGAGATACATTGAGCTGTCCGATTAATAGTAATTGTTTTGTCTACAGTTTAAAGACTGTACTTTGTGTTAAATGGATGTTGCTAAATTTCTATCATCTAAAGTTATAATGGATCTTATCTCTCTGTCCATTGATGCCAGGAAAGTGGGATAGAAAGGTAGCAAGTACCTAGAATACTACTTCTTAGTAGTTAAGTACTAAAAATTCACAGTGAAGATAGGTACATTGTTTACAACGTTTTCAAAAGGCAATTGAACAAATTCTGAAAGAGGCTCTTTTTAATGTATCATTAAGCTCATTCTCGAGAATTCATCATAATATACTCCAATATGAAGTGATCACACTTCACAGAAGCTAAATTATGCTGCTTTCTTGAGCAGAATCTGGATGGGTGGAAGCCAGAATGCTTGGGTCCTAGAAGATGATCACATGCAAATATGCAATGAGCATACACAAACACAAGAGTAATACATTCTTGCCCTCCCCAATTGCTATAAACTTCAGAAAGTGAATATATATGAAGATCACATATATAGCAATATCCAGAGGAAAGTTCAAGGCATGATTCCAGGATCAGTGAAAATATCACAGAGACGCAAAGACTAAATAAATAAGATCATGTAACGACTATATTCAGGATTGAAATGCACTATGGAACTATAGGAAAAAATATAGAAGAGCAAGCTGGCAAACCATTTCGAGTTAATGCAAAATCGGCTCCTCAAAGAGTATTTCCCTCGTCCCGATTGCTCTATATCGGGGCATTCATACCCAGGAATGAAATCTCACGTTTGAGCCAATCCCGAGTGTAAAGAGTCGATAATCAAGATTACTGGAATATGGGGTGTTCGTGTCTATTGGCGATGCAAAGCTTTCTCCTTTTCTTTGATTGGGTTTTTTGTGTTTCCTTCGTCTTCTGGAAGAGAGAAATGTGGAACTGTGGAAGCGACATTGTTTCATTAGCACCTGCAAATCCGGGTAGTCTCCTCTGCACTCTCCCCGTTCTTCTGATCTGTCGCGAACTCGTGGATCAAATTCATCCATTTTCTAAGAGCTCGTTAATTTCGTAGAGTTCGTTATTTCGGACTTGCCCATGCCAGGTGGATCATACAACTAATTCATAAGTAGTCCCTACTCTTTCCTAGGATTGTCAGATGATTGAAATATGCTCCGTACATTTTTTGTACATTTTCATACGTACGTTTTATTTGTCTAAAATTGGCTACCCGCAACTTCTAATGAGTTTACTCCCATTGTCCCTCGCCCCATGTCTAAAAAGTTCTCCTCATCCCTGACTCGCCCCCCATTACTCCCAGACCAATCTCTCCAAACGTTGTCCTCCACGGGTGCCCGCGGGTGCCCCATATAAATTTTATTTATCGTATTTACATATTTTTTTAATCCATTATATATATATGTGGGTGTGTAGCATTGAAAGAGTTTTTTTTTTTAAATATAGCACCGAAAGAGTTAAACTAGCAGATAATATCGTTTTTGATAAAAAATTATTACCGCTGATTTTTATTAATTCTTCGATTTGACTAAGTTATGTGAAGACAGTTAAAATAAAAATATAAGTAAACATATTCTTCTAAATTCCTCATTAATTATAATACAAATATATACATTTAAACTCATATAACATTTATGATACATACTTTTTGCCATTACTTAATATTGTGGTTATGTATTAATTCATTAACCATGGCTAAAAACCGTACATGTATGATATGGCTATATGTACATGCATGTCAATCCATTATTTATGTGTGTGTGTGTGTGTTTATATGTATACGTTTGAGTATATATTTATAATGGGTACGGGACGGGTGTAGCAATCCCCGCCCCATATCTCACTCATCCCTGTCCCCGCTCCACCTCAATCCCCGCCCCATCCTCCCCACGCGGGGCGGTTCCCCACTAGTTCCCGCCCCATTATCATCCTTAACTTCTATACATTAATATGAATTGTCTGACAACTATGTCTATGTAAATAAACAAAATGTATCAAAAGTGTACACAACACGGCGTACATCAAACAATTGTGAATGAGATTAGAATTTAGAAGCATCCAACACATCTTTTTTTAGAAGCATCACACACATCTAAAGTGCTTAAAAATAAAATTTAAAGTAAATTCTATAGTATTCTACTCTATCCTTTTTAAGTGGGTTAAGTAGAATGAACATTGCAATTGAATTATTTAAATATAAATTAATGATAAAACAACGATTTAAAACAATTAAATGGATGTTAGATGGTACACATTTTTTAAAGGGAAAACTTCACAAATATGCTTTAAAGGTAAATTTATATCACATTTGTCACTTTCTAAGTTTTCTTTCAAAAGTAGACAAGCGGACTTTTTATTTTCAAAAATAGACCAAGTGTCCCACGTAGCCACGTGTGGATACAACCCGCCGGCCCACCCCTGGAAGCGCATGTCCCCAACATCCCTTTTAAGTGCTGTACATCTTAGCTTCTTTGATACGAGGAATAATACGGTGTACTATCTACTTGTATAACCTAAGCTCCAAGATTTATTTAATTAAATTTTTTAGAAAGATTTAAAATAAAAATGTACAAAACGTAAAAAATATTAAAAATAAAAATAAAAGAAAAATATAAAATTAAAATATAAAAAATATTAGAAGTGAGGAAAAACATAAAATGCAAAATAAAAAGAGTTTGTGTACACTATAATTTATATAAAAATATAGAAAAAATATATAAATATAATAAAAAAAGATTTTTTTGTGAAATAATACCAAAAAAGGGAAAATATATAGAAAATATAAATATAAATTGTAAAAAAAGAAACTTTTCTCAAAAATTTAAAAAACGTAAATTTTAAAAACATAATATTTGTTTCTTTTTGTTTATGATTGTAAAATATTTCATTTTTTATTGTTTATTTTTGTTTCTAGTTGTTTTTATATTCATAAATCTAAATTTATAATTTTAAATGTTTGCACAAAAATTTACATTAGTTTTTTTTAATTTCCAGAAAGTAGCCAGGATGAATAAATACCTAAATATTAAACTACAAACAAAATCAACAATAAACAACAATAGCTGCACACTACAACAAAAAGCAACACAATACAACAAAAAGAAACACAATGCAACAAAATGAAACAATTTTGATACAACAAAAAGAAACACAATGCAACAAAATAAAACAATTCTGATACAACAAAATGAAACAACAAACAACGCAAAAATGTATCACTATTGATATATAATTCAATCAATTATTTTAATTTATTACATCTATATATTATATTATTTGGCTTTGCTTGATCACATTTCTTCTTCCTTGTATGCACCTTAATGCAGAATCCATCAGAATTGTCTCCCTTTTTCAATGGTGCCAAAATAAGAATAATCCAGCTTAAATACAAATGAAGCCATCTGCCACCCGGGATAGACTGAACTCTTGAAATTGATGACTTGTTAAGGACACTGAAAGAAGAAGAGCAGGCAGACTCTACTCTACTCTGTTTCTCCTTTTCTATTGAAGAGGAGATTCATTCATTCCCTCACCTACTTGAGTAGAGAACCCTTTCTCCTTCATGAAAAAAGGGCAATTCAGACCTCAGGAGCCATTATCCATGTGCAAGTTGATCTGCTTCATCTACTACTGCAGAGATTCCAATTCAAACTTTTGAATTACAGTCACTTAATAGCCAACCTTACATAATATACAACAATAAGCTAATCCAATTTTCTATTCTCACCCAATAAGGAGCTATGCATTTGTAAACAATAGCTTCCAAATTCTAAACACCAGACTTGTTACATTTTGATAACTTTAGTGGAGTTTAGGAAAGAAATGCTAAGGAAGTCCTTTCCACACTCCACACAATGTATGTCAATAACCAAATTGCAAGAAAACAAAGACACACTAAGCAGCAATAGTAATTTAAAGTTACAGTTGATATTACTAAGATACACCCAACCACTTTGAGAAAGTTGAAGAACTCTGTGTAATCACTGTAAGAGATTATACCCTCGAGCTTTGCCCCTCCCCTTCAGTTGGACTTATCGTGGCTGCTTGAAATGGCCTCGGCTCTCTTCCTGATGATATAGAGTATTTCGATGATCTATAGAGAAAAGAGCAAGGATGGTTCCAAACATGTGGGGAGATTTATATATGAAATGATTAGAATCAGAATGATTCCAATGCAAGTAATGCAAAACGGCTCCCATAGAAAGTACATAACGGAAATGTGCAACCACATACTACGTAATAAGTATCATGTAGAGCAATGTCTAGTCCAGAATTTGCCAGAACTATTCCACTAAGTCCTCCTATGGGTTCCCTTTCGTCAGTGAGGTTGGATGTAATTCAGGCCTTTTTTCATACATTTGAATGAATAAATTGGATTTGCTCTATTAATTCAGTTCGATTACAACTCCTACCGGTGATGTGGGCCTGATAAAGGAACTTTTGGAAAGAAAACGTGGACCAAATGGAAGGGCTTGCAACGATGGGAGGCTATCGTTTTGTACCATGCTTTCCCAACAGCCCTTACTAACTGGCTTCCAATATATCTAATCCAACAACAATAAGAAAATCAACCAAGGCCTATAGCTTATTCACTATATACAAAGAATTAATGAACACAAAGGCTAAACTCCAGCATAATGGATGAAGAACATAATTTTTTTGAACAAAGGAGGATGAAGAACATAAATTATTCACCTTATAGATACCGTTTGGTAATCTGCTCGGTGAGATTAGAATACCTTTTTTCCTGATTTGAGTGAATTGATGTGATTCAATAACAACATACGATAGGACGATGGCTAAGGAAGATCTAAAATGGATTTCATCACCTCCAATGGATTTCATCACCTCGCCAGGAACACATTCTCTGGACGTCGGCACCAGCCATTCTCCGCACGACCGCACAACTTCAGCTCTTGTTGATGCAGCTGGTTCAGCATCTTTGTTGTCCCAGGGTATTGCAACAGAGCAAAGAAGGTCCCTGTGAATCGGGTGGCCTAGAGCACCTAACAACCTGAGGTTTTCGGTCAACCAGAGCAGTCAGAGCCTCGTAGGACGTCACTCGTTGAGCAGAAGTAAATCCACACAGAAGGACGGAGCGCGGAGCTACAAGAGACGGAGGGAGGAGAGCGGATCCGCACACGACGAAGGCCAAACGGAGGAGAACGGAGCCGCACACGACGAAGGCCAAACGGTGGAGAACGGAGCGCGGAGCCGCTGAAGCTAGAGGAGTAGCCAGAGCTGGGAAGGAGTAGAATAATCGCACATCTTCTGCTCAACGATGTCGGGGTTGTGTTTTGATTTAGGAATTAGGTTATTCTTGAAATAAAAAAACATAATTGAAAGAAGAATAGATTAAAAATGAAAAGAAGAACTACCCGAGACATAATTGATATGTGAAGCACAAAAGTGGCTCATATGGGTAATTTCCACTTTTTTAAATGAATACCGTAGCACTTATCAAAAGTTTAAATCTCATACTGTCGTGACACCTTGACCCAACTCAATTTTGATTTTATTTTTACATGTAAGGGGTGTTTTTATTTTTCTTTTGCTTCCTTTTTAAACCTAGAAGCAAAATCAAAATCAGCTTTTCAGAAGCCGATCTCCCTAACATAAAAAAAAATTGCTTTTAGGAGCAATTTGGAGTATTGAGAAATACTTCTTCATTTTGACCCAAACACTTCAATATCTGCTTCTGCTCTATGAAGGAGTAGAAGCGAGCACTTTTAAGAAGTACTCCGTGGATCCAAACACACTTACATATTTGTGAAACTTTACTCATAAAAATTATACGGAGTAATGTGAATCTCGTATGCATCTTGCCTCAATTCATTCTGTAACTGCGCCACTTGATCACTTAACACGCTTAAGAATTTTCAATTTGCCTTCAAATGGTTGAATCCTCAATTTCCTTCATTTTTCGATTTTGTATGCACTTAAGGTGGACGTTAAGTCGTTAACTCTATGGAAAACCATCGAGTAAGAACATGAAGAAAAATAATAATTTGAACAAAGTATTTGAATTGTAAAATAGATCATATATCGTCATTTACTCATAGCATCACTCAATTAGGTCAAGGTGTGCCACGGGTTAATGCTAAACGTCCATTAATCTAATCGCAAAGTGATTCTATGAATAATAAATCAAATTTCTTATCCGTTTATATGTATTCACTCAGTCAACCCAACAAATGGTTTCTTTATTAAAACCTTGCTTTTATTATATATATAATATACACACACACACATCCACTTTTGGCCAATTTTATTTTTGTGAATAACTATGGTTTAAAAAGTCAAACATTCTGATGCAAAAATGAATAAATTCGGAGTTCAATTTTGTTTTAATTCAGGAACTTAAAATCTGTTTCTAATTTTATATATGTAATATTGATGTCAAAATGAATGATTATGAAAAGGTACTCCGTATTAAATTTGATATATTTTTTTGTAAAAATTAGAGCACAAATAAAAAAAGGATAACATTTCTGTGGAAAGAGAGCTTTTCAATTCCCTGAGTTAACACAAATATGCAATCCATTTTAGTATTTGACTCCGAAGCCATCACACGACTCGATCGGGTGAATTAGGGGTGCCAAAGGTCTCCTCTATGAAAGTCATATATCCACTTTGGCATCTCCTCATACCAATTTTCCCAAGGATTGCAGCTAATGGAAGGTTGAAAACTTCACAATTAGCACTTTCACTCTCATCATTGCGCCATTGCGGTTAGCCTTGGGCAATAGAATGAGCCCATGGTGGTAGAGACAACTAGATAATTAAGAGCATGCTAGTGTCAATAGATAGCTTGGTTGCACGATATTGAAATGCAATTAAACAAGATTTAAGTAGCAAAATAGCAAGAGTGTTTAAGCAATGTTGACGTAAATATCGAACGGAGTAACAAATGAATTGAGTAAAGGGTCAGTTTGGTCCTCGAAGTTACAAAAAAGACGTCAAATAAGTCCTTATATAGAAGATTCTGTCCGGACGTGCCATTTGAGGTGGCTCCCGGGGGAATTTTTTGATAATTTTTTTTAGCATCTTATTCATTAAGTCTAGTTTACTCATACCAAATTTCAGCTAAAAATTCAATCGGGAAGACATTCAAATGATTTCTTGAAAATAACTGCGCTGTTAGCGACACAGTTATCTTCAAGAATTCATTTGAATGTCTTCCCGATTGAATTTCTATCTGAAATTTGGTATGAGTAAACTAGACTTAATGAATAAGATGCTCGAAACATTTCATCAAAAAATTCCACCGGGAGCCACCTCAAATGGCACATCCGGACAGAATCTTCTATATAAGGACTTATTTGACTCCCTTTTTGCAACTTCGAGGACCAAATTGACTCTTATCCCCAAATGAATTGAAGCAAACTAACACTTTCGGGCAATGATATATGTCCTTTAGTTGTAACACTTTCATTTTCACGTTTGTCAATACATAACTTTGATCATTAATATGTTTAACTTTCAAATTATAAAAATTTCAAAAATCCAAATTTTGAAAATTTAAAGTAAGAAAAATTTAATTATAATTTTCACATTTTGACAAAAAGAAATTGTATTACACTCGTAAATAAAATAGTCAAAATTAGATCACGTGAATAGTGAAAAATATCTATGTTGCGATTATTTAAGAATGGAGTTAGTATTTGACATTAATTATAAATGTTATCGAGATAAGGGGTGAAGTTTTTTTTTTAACTATTATGTATATAGAAAAATAATTGTTTTATGTTATCTAACATTTATCACCAAAATGACGTTTATTTTCAAAAAACAAAATGGTATTTGGAAAATAAAAATGAGGTACCGCAAAAAGAAATGTATGTTACTTGTCATATTACATTACGAGTCCATTTGGCAACACTGTTTTTCGACTTATCAGGCTTATCAACCAACTTTTTCTCAAACACGTAATTTTTGCTTTCACGTGTTGAATTGTGTAATAAGCAGATAAAGTAAGGTTGTGCTTACTTTTCTGACTATTTTGGCTGAAGTTACTGTAGATGACCATTTTAGTTGTCTAATATTTTATTTATTATATTAATAAAATATATTATAAAAATCATTTTTTCTTAAATCAGCAGAATCAGCCAATCCAGCCACTTCAACCAGAACTTCATAAATTTCAGCAGAATCAACCAAAACATCCAATTTCTGTGCTACCAAACGGGCTTTATGTGAAAATTAAAAAGAGGGACCTCTCTTGATATTGAAAACAATTGGTAAAGCAGGTGGACATATCTCAACTGGTAGATAAGGATTGTCATAAGGGGTAAGTTTCGGGTTCGAATTCTGACAATTGTGATAAAAGGTTGCTATATATGTAAAAATGCATAGATCTCTGCAAGTATCTAGTCACGCTCATCACTATTTATGAGCTTGTGATTAAAATCTAGTTAAGTGTATGATCGGTGCATGAGTCTTTGAGGATAGAGTGTCATCATTTTCGCAAACTATTACTCCATCAACAACGAACTTTAAGCGCAAGATGACAAAATATACGTACGGGTTTGCAACTGCATCTGCTTAAAAAAAACACTTTTGGAGATGTAAGGAAACAGTGATTAGTAGTAAAAGTTGATAGTGTTTGAGAAAAAAGTGATTTTGAAAAGTAAAAGTAGGTAGTGTTTGGTAAAATAAGTGCTTTTTGTGTAATAGAAATGGGAAAGACACTTTTCACACGCAAGCCGAGAAAAAGTAAAAATTGGTAGTATTTGGTAAATACGGAGTAAGTGTTTTCTTAAGTCAAAAGTTGAGAAGTGCTTTTTTAAGTTGTTACAAACACTCCCGTGGTATGACATCAATAATGTGGTGACAAGTTTTATCATGCAACATTCATTCATACAAGAATATTAACCGTGAGCTATGAAGTAGGAAGTGGCTGTTAAGACTCGGGGTTCCATCCTAAAAGGTCAACCTGATAGAAAGAGGAGTTCGAAGTCTTATATAGTGTTTAATTGTTTTGTAGCTTTCCGGTGTAGGACAAATGCTTTAACACGCCCCCTCAGCCCGAACCGGGCTGGACAATATCGGGATGTATAAATGGACCAAACAAACCCTTAACAAGCTACCCTTAATCATGGGTGCTAAACAAACCGTCAAACCACAACCGGAATTGGCTCTGATACCATGTTAAGACCTGGGGTTCCATCCTAAAAGGTCAACCTGATAGGAGGAGGAGCCCGAAGCTTTATATAGTGTTTAATTTTTTTGTAGCTTTCCGGTGTTGGACAAATGCTTTACAAGTGACGTTTAAATTTTAAAAGTAACCATATAAATATATAATGATATTTCATCTACAAAACACTTGAAATTGTCAACTTCCGACTTAGGCAACTTGTGTATTCTGATAATATTGTTACCTATTAGTTTTCGATCGTTTTCACCTATAAGTTTTTTGTTTTCTAATTGAACTTCATATCTCAAATTTAAAAATTGCCTGATCATATATTTTAATGACGACGTGGTTTTTTGTTTATATTTTCTATTAAGCCATGTCTGAATTAAAATGTGAATTGTACTCTGTATTAATTAACATGATTAAGTTATATATTTATATATAAAACTATTTATTTTGTACCTGTATGAACCGACTTAATTGAATAAAACATTCAATTTAATAATATTACTATTGTGTTATACTTTTATTGAAAAATGTTATTTATTAACATACACGGATTAAGAAAACTGAATGAATGTTGCATCTCAATAGTAAGGGCGACTATGTTACACAACTTAAAATTACAACGGTGACATTAGTTGAGGCGGAGTCTCAAACGGCTACAGCTAAAAGTCTAAATGCATTCCTGCAAATACCTGGTTTAATATAGTCATGGACCCGGGCCGGGCCGGTTCCGGGTCGGGCCCGGCCGGGCTTTTTTTGGGAAGGAAGGCCCAGGTCCGATCCGGGTAGCCACCGGGTCCGGTCCGGGTCCGGGCCGGGCCAGGCCTCCGGTTCGATCATAATTTTTTTTTTTTTGCTTTCCTAACCCCCCACTCACCCCCCCCCCCCAAACCCCCAAACCCCTCCTAACCATCAAGCCCAACCCGGCTAACCCCAAAAAATGGAAAAAAAAAAAATAAATAAAAAAATCAATTCGGCCCGGGCCCGGGCCCGACCCGGCCGGGCCAGTTCGCCAAATACAAGGCCCGAGCCCGGACCCGCCCCCCCCCACCGGGCCTAGGCCCGACCCGGACCCGGACCCGAGAACCGGGCCGGTTCCGGGCCCGCACAGTGGCGGGCCGGGCCGGTCCCGGGCCGGGCGGCCCGAACCGGGTCCATACCTAGTTTAATATATGCGCCGAAATGCCAAATCCT